TCTGAGTTTTCTCCTATAATGCCTGATGAGTTTGGAGAACACCTGACAAGAGATCAGAGACCATTCCTTCATCCAGCATCTCTCCAGATCCTTCAGATTCCCAGCTCCATGTTGGTGCTTCTTCTCTTTGGTTCACTCCACTCATTTTCTATAGGGTTCAGAGCAGGGAACTGAGATGACCATGGCAGAAGCTTGGTTTTGTTTTTGTGTTGTTTTTGATGTTTGTTTTGGATCATTGTCCTGATGGCAGATCCAACCACAGCCCATTAGAAGATTTCTAACAGAGGCAGTCAGGGTTTCGATTTTTTATCTGTTGCTATTTGATAGAATCCATGATGCCATGCATCTGAACAAGACGTCCAGGACCTCCGGCAGAAAAACAGGCACACAACATTAAAGATCTAGCAGTATATTTAACCATGGGCATGGGGTACTTTTTCTCCCTGTTTGTACTAAACCCATCTGGTGGGTTTGCTGCCAAAAAGCTCTATTTTTAAGTTTCATCTGGACCATAGAAGTTCCAGTCGAGTCTGACAACTGAATATGCAGGAGTTTGTTTTTGGATGAGCGAGGATAATTTTTCTTGAAACCTTCCTGAACAACATGTGGCGATGTAGGGGCTGTTTGATATTTTGTTTAGGCTTTCTGACCCCAAGACTCAACTAATCTGCAATTCTCCAGCTGTGATCCTCGTAGAGTCATCATTATGATATAGACACACATCCTGCAGATTTGTAACATCTTTAGTTGATTGGAACTTTTTAATTATTGCCCTGATGGTGGAAATGGTGATTTTCAATGCTTTAGCATTTCTTAAAGCCACTTTCTATTTTGTGAAGCTCAACAATCTTGTTCTGCACATAAGAACTATATTAATTGGTTTTACTCCTTGTGATGGATGATTAAGGGAATTTGGCCTTTGTGTTCCTCATATTTATAATCCTGTGGCACAGGAAGTCATGGCTGGACAATTTCATGCTCCTAGTAACCCCGGTGTGCTTAATTTTTAAAATATGAATGGAAATATACTTTATATATATATATATTATTATTATAATTATTATTACAAAGTTGCATTACAACTAAAAAAGATAATATCCCACACTGGACATGTTTAGATGAAATATTTAGGATTTAGGAAGGATTTTTATGATACCACAAATTATATGATCTACATCTAGGAAGCAACCAATGTGTGACTTTTTTTTGCATTTTTCTTTTAAATGACTTACTGCTGCCATAGAAACCGGTGTGTCACCCACTGAGGTTGTAGTGAGCAGCCTGGCCACTCCCTGCACCACCGATGGACAGTCACCCTCAGCACCATCTGGCGGCGCCACCAGCGTCAGTTTTGGAGTCGCCCTCTCTCCAGTCTGGAGCTGCTTTGAATCGGAATCCATAACAGACCTGGTCCACATCATCTGGACTGACCCAGCTCCCTCTGCGGTCACTGGACTTCTCTGAGTGCTGGTATGATGGTTCTCAATCTTGTTACCTTCCTTGTGGTCCTGATTAGATGGATGGGTGGAGAAGGTGGCAGATGTTTGTGTGTTTGATGGCGTTTTGGCAGTGGTGCTCAGCGTGGCTTCAGGTTGCATGCTCATAGGTACACTCAGGCGTTTGCGTTTCAGTGCTGGTGAGCCCTGAATTTCTGGGTTATTCTTACTGTCCTCAGGGGCGGCGTTGACCTGTGCATTCAACATTTGAAAGAGCAAGGTTTAGGATCAGACTTCCACCTATATTTTCCTAATGAATGCAACATGCAAGAGTGTACTCTAAGGCTGGGGTTTGCAGTTTTCTCTGATGTACCTTTTTTAGTTTGGTTGTACCTATTGGCTTCTTCCTTGCTCTGTAAAATCAAGAAAAAGGGCAATTTATTAACATGAACTTTGGTTAAGTTTAAAGTATTAAACTAACAAGGTTCCACATGTTAATTTGTCTTTCTGATAACAGTTAGAAAAAATAATGAATCATTTTCCTCAGAAGGGTTGGATAAATACAGTATCTAGGAAGTGTGTAGTAGTGTAGAATCATACTTACACAACACCAGTGATGTGGCCATGTGCTTTTCGGGTTTCTATAAGCAGAATTCTATTAAGAACAGGACAGAAACTTATAAAATTATTAATAACGATTTTTCCCAAGCAAGGTTTCATGCCTATTAAGGTCTGAACACTGATGGTTGAGTTTTTAATTTTTTTATTTGATTATCTGATAAGCAACAGATCTGATTTTTAATGCAGTTTTTACTGCTTTAAATTAATCAAAAGTGACAGTAAAGACATTATACAAATGCTGTTCATTTGAACTTTCTATTCACAGAATCCTGAAAAAAATGTATGACGGTTTCCACAAAAATATTAGGCAGCACAACTGTTTTTAACATTAATAATAAAAATTCTTGAGCAGCAAATCAGCATATTAGAATTATTTCTGAAGGATCATGTGACACTGAAGACTAGAGTAATGATGCTGAAAACTCAGCTTTCAGTGTTTAAGAGCAACAGACATTGTGAATAACTTGTCAATTGTAAATATAAATGATGAACAACTTAACTTGGCCCTATAGATTTCACTTATGTCCAAAATTTCAGAGTATTAATAATTTGCTTTGTATACCTGGATTGCATCCATCCTTTAGGCCAAAGTGGTTTAACATCAGCCTCTAGGAATGCTTTCAGATACTCTTCCAAACTAGAGCATGTGGGCGACTCCGAATCATAAATAATCATCTTCAAATTGACAATTTCAAAGAGCAACTCCCTGTAAATGTCCATACAGTGATATTTGTTTATAAAGATAAGTGCTTACATAATTGAATAATACTTCATTTTATTACATTTTATTACAAGTTCTGGTATTCATTAAATTCAAAGATCATGTAATGAGAATGTACAGCATTTACTAGTAGCAATCAAGAGAGCTTTAATAATCATGCGCACACACACAAGAGACCCGACCTGATCTCTTCATTCCATCTGAACCTCTTGCGAGGCCCAAACACTCGTTTTCCACTCCTCTCCTCTTCTTCTTCATCAGAGCCATCAATCCCCCTCTCTTTCTCAGCCTCGAGTCTTAAAACACAAAAAGAACATACAAATCAAACCGAAGTTGCATTCTAATAGAAAACTGCAAACCAATTAAAAAGTCAGTAAAGATACAGTGAAAGTGATCGAGGTTTTACGCATTAAAAATGATTGATTACTTGGCAGCTCTGGCTTCAGAGTGAGCTTGGCAGTGATTCTGGAAACGGGTGATCTGTTCTGGCATGGACCTGGTAACCGCATTCTCGCTTCTTCAGCAGCTCCCGCAGCTGTTCATCCTGATAACACACATAACCAACACATTAAGCTTACAGAGACATTAAACTGGATTTCAGTTACACACACACACACAACCATTTAAAGGGGTCCTATTATGCTCTTTTACAAAGTCTTGATTTTGTTTTGGGGGTGTACTAGAACAGGCTCTCATACTAGGTTGTTCGAAAAACACATTATTTTTCACATATTTTACATTATTACAACACCTCTCTCCTCAGTCTGACATGAACAGCTCGAATAGTTCCTGTATCAAATGAAGGCCCGCCTTCTGAAATACGAAATGTGCTGTGATTGGTTATCTGGGCCAGTGCGTGTTGTGATTGGCAGCACTGGGCGCCTGGTCGGGAAATGTCACGCCCCTTATTATACCCACCTGCGAGCTTCAGTGTAAATATTGCACCAAAATCAAATCAATTTGAGCACGATTTAAACCCGGATGATTGTAACCACTCTAAGTTCGTCTGCCTTGGGAAAGCTAGCGTGTCTCCGACATAGTGATAACACTCGTTGCCTTCTCTAGTGCAGCTCAACCAGGTTTCGTCCCATTCGTCGATATTTGTGATATCACAAATCCCGGAAAATATACGTTGTAGTCCAAACGAGTCGTTCGTTGTAGTTTTTGAAAAGTGATTTCTGTTAAATAAAATATCTCCTTTTGGAGTGGACTTTGAGCTTTGTAACTTCGCAGATCTTTTTTATGCTCAAACAGCAACATTACAGACTAACTAAAGTTGAAAAAGTGAAAAAGCATAATACGACCCCTTTAAATGTTTAGGGTTGGTAAATACTTTTTTTTTTTTTTTAAAGTAGTCTCTTATGCTCACCAAGGCTATATTTATTTAATCAAAAATAAAGAGAGACAGTACTATAGTGAAATAACATTACAATTTAAAATAACTTTTATATTTGAATATATTATATATATATATATATTTATTTTTTTAGTCATTTAGTAGATGCTTTTATCCAAAGCGACTTACAAATGAAGACAATAA